CACTCTCACACACACGGTCTCTCTACACACACACGGTCTCTCTACACACATGGTCTTTCTACACACACAGTTTCACACATACACACTCCCACACACACACTATCTCACACACACTCTCTCACATAGTCTCTCTCTACACACACACAATCTCTTTCACACATACTCTCACACACACACTCTCTCCACAGTCTCTCACACACACATACTCACTCTCCCTCACACACACACTCTCTCACATAAACACTCTCACACATGCTCTATGAACACGTAGTCTCTCTCTCATACACATACACACTCTCCTACGTACTCTCGCAGTCTCTCTCTCACAAACACTCACACACAATCACTCACACACTCTCTACACATACAAGTCTCTCTCTCACACACACTCACTCTTTCTCACACAATCTCTCTCATACACACACCCCTCTCACCCACACATACTCGTTCTCTCACACAATCTCTCATACACACCCACTCCCTCTCTCACAAACACATACCACACACACACACACACACACACACACACACACATTAATGTGATATCATGTCAGTGATGCCCTTCAACTACCAGACATGGCCAGGCTCTTGCTGTTGTGGATTCCTCATAGGAAGTTGTATTTCCTATGAACATTTTTTATTTTCCAGACATGCTAATGTCTAGATGGGCTTGTGGTAAATCAAACTCTCTCAGATCTACCTTCAGAATAAATCCAGAATTTGCATTTTGGGTCTGTGGGACTAATGAAAACAAATCTTCCCAGTAAATCCTCTCAGATCTATCCTCAAAATAAATCCAGAATAAATGAAACTGATAATTGTTTTTATACATTCTTTCCTGAAGGCATTACCGTCCACACATAGAAACCTTTGCTTAGCCTGGGACGGTCATGCTATCGATGGCATATTGAGTTTCCTGGAGGAATGTAAGCATATTGGAACAGTAAGTTTCTAGTCTCTTGGTCTTAAATGAGGGAACCCTTGTGAATCTCTTGGCATACCGCCTATCAGGGAGGGCTGGAATTCCTGCAGATTACTACCATATGCTGAAGCATAGGTTAGGAAATGGGTTGAATTGAGAGGGACGTTTAGCCTCTGTGCTTACTCTGTGGTGGTAATAACAGCTATACATCGAACACCTGTTGTCAGGTCCTCAACTCAACACCTTTGTATACGTTTCCATATGTTATTAAATCTTCAAGCAACACTTTGAGGTAAGTTTTCCTTTCCTCATAATACAGCTGTGGAAAATTGAGGCCCAGGAAGGTTAAGTCTCTGGACCAAAGTCACACAGCTGGGCCATGGTAGAACCTGATCAAAATAAGGACTGATTCTAAAGCTTTCCAAATCCTGTTATCCCCGCTGAGGAAAGGAGATCAAAAGGCAAAAGTTTCATTCGAAAAGCAAAAGTTTCTACCTTAATATTTTAAAACATATCTTATAACAAATAAACATAGTCGACATCAAGGGTTAGGCCTAATGAGAACATCCCGAACTTTAAGGTTGAAAGATGTATTAATTCAACATAGAAACAGAAATATCTCCTCTGTTCCTTTTGATCATCATCAAATGGGCTATTTTGATCTAGTCTCACTTATGTTCCAGAAGCAAATGGTTGAAATGTGCTGATGTCAACTACTTCTTAAAAGGGGCATTGTTAGAGGAACACTGCAAAACATTTTGTTGATAAAAAAAAAAAAAAAACAGGAAAATCTAATAAAACAACAAAAAAATCCCTTCTGATTTGACTGCTCACCTATTGCTGCTGTTATTTTCCTGTTTACCTTTCCTGTTTCCTGTTTCCTGTTATTTTCCTGTTTCCATGTTTACCTGTAGTCGTAATCAGACTCTAGACTCGGCTTTGATTCCAGACCTTTTAAAAATTTAGTATTATATAATAAACATTTTCCCAGTGATTAAATATTCATTGGAAATAAATTTTAGTGCCTCTAAATCAAAGGTTGACAAACTTCGTAACCAGCAGGGTAGTGAATATTTTCGGCTTGGTGGGCCATATTGCCTCTGTCACAACTGTTCGACTCAGCTGTTGTGGTGTGAAAGCAGCCATGGGCAGTGGGTACGCAAGAGAGAGTGTGGTTGTGTTCCAATAAAACCTTATTTATAAAAACAGGTGGGGAAGCTGCTTTGGCTCACAGGGCACAGTAGCGGCTCTGTAATATCACATACGCTCTGTACGTACAGTCTGTCATTCAGACTGTACATAATTCGGTGAGCTCTTCTACCGTGGGGCACTTAGGTGATCTGCAGCGCTCTCTCCCCCACAGTTGAACAGCAACGGACATGTAGACTCCTGAGCTCATCTCTTTGGTGTACACATAGATCCCACATCACTGTCAAAGTTCCATTTCCTCTTAGCAGTGGGTTATCAAAGGCCAACTGCTAAGACCCACTGGGGGCTGGTGGGATTGTTCCATTAATAGGAAATACCCCCTGAGAGTGCTTTCCCCACCAGACTGCTGGGATGGACCACATGGGGCCACTCACCTTCCTAGACCCGTGGCTGCGACCTTACAGGATCTGATCCCCTTCTTGGTTATAGAACAGATCATCTTTTAGAATCCCTTCGTGTCATTGCAAAGTATTTTTGGAACGAGTTCAGGAATATGTAATTTTTGTACACAGTCCTAACCAGCCAAGGAGGTAAGTTTAGTTCACCGGTGAGGATTTTCTATCTTGTTTTCATCTCACAGGCCGAGAGTAGGGAGTTCATGGAGGCGTGGAAGCAGAGAGCCTGAGAACATCCCCGCCGACAAGAGGAGGGGGGCGAGGGAAGGCCGCCGGGGCCTCCCACGACCTGAAACCTGGCAGTGGACACACGCTGATCGGCTTTTAAATGCTCCTCTGGGCAGACTGGGGATTCCCAAGGCAGTTGTGCTCTGAGTGACAGGCACTTCCTTCTCATTTATAGCGCAAGAAAGCACCAGTCAGGATAATTAGTTCATGCTTTTAGGATTTAAATTAACTCCATGTTGAGAAGGAAAAAGCCGACTGTAGGAGAGATTTTTTACCCGTGACGTGACTGATCTCTGTCACAGGCCCTCGTCCGCTCAAGATGTGCAGAAATCCCATGGTTTGGCCATGAAGACATCTGACCCATAGCCGGGCTGTAGTCAGACGCATCCCGGGTCGGCGCAGCAGCTCCAAAGGCCTCGGCATTTCTAGCTTGTTATCTTAGGGTCACCATGTGATGTCAAAGCCGTGACACACCCCGCCACCATGTTCATGACAGAAAAAATGGCCAGGCCTCCTGGCCGTCTCTCTTTCTGTCGTGGAGCAAAGTCTTCCCAGAAGCCCCAGAACACCTGCACCGTAGCAGAGCCCTGAGCCACCTCAGGACCACTGGGTCAGAGGCCCACACTCAGCTAAGGGGCCCGGGGGACACCAGGCGGAGGTGACGTCCCTCATGGTCACACCCACAGCCTGAACATGTTGCCTTTGGAACAGAACCGAGGCTGTAAACGAAAGAGGAGGGGACAGTGGCCGTGGGGTAGGCGGCTCTCCGTGTCTGGCCCCGCGCTTTGGTGGACATGAACGTTTCTCACGGACTGTGCCCTGCGGCAGGCCTCGTGGCCTAAAGTCTCCGCTTCCCCAGCTGTCGGCTCCGTGGTTCTGGGCAAGTTACTGAATGTCTCTGAGCTTCGGTTTGATTTTCTATAAAATGGGGGGGTCTATGCCTTTGGATATCAAATGGAATAGGATTTATATACATGCATCGCCCGTGCCTGGCACTCAGGAAGCCACCCACCCAGGTACCACCAGTGAGTTCTCGGACCCGCGGGGACTGGCCTCAAGGTCCTCTGGGGGCAGGCCCCGGCTTTGACGGCTTGGTTCTCTTCGAGAGAGAACTTGCATGTTGGGTCTGTGGGACTAACAAAAACAAAACCCATCCAGACTCGGAGACACTAACAGAAAGGTGTCTTTCCCGCCGTGGGGGGAAGAGGTTTACTGTTGGGTTTGTAATGTAGAGGGAGTGAGCGGCTGTTTATGGCTTCCCCAGTCTGCACAGGTGGGTGGGGGGCTACGGCCCATCGCTCTTCACCGAGCTGCAGCTGCGTTGTGGTTGCAGACGTGACAGGCCTCCTAGGTTCAGGGCAAAACTAGACAGTTGTCACCAAGAGCACTGCTAAGCCCGCCTGACCATCCAGATCACTGCCCCTGTCACCTGTGCCATCGATCAATGACAGCCATCTCAGAAAGTATCTTGGCCAATTCCAAAATTAAGGGTGAAAAATATAGACCCCAACCCACTAGATGAAAAGTAGTTTTTCCTTTTCCTCCACCGCCCCCACCCCGCCCTGACACCCCGAATCCCTGGTCTCCTCCAGGCCAGTGCAGACCGTGAAGTCTGGCCCAGCTGGGTGGCGGCCTGCGCCGAGCAGCCGCAGGGGCCAGCCTGTGGGTGGGCCAGGTCCTTGCCTCATGAGTCAGCCTCGGGCAGTCTCAGGTGGGCGTCCCAGCCCCACTGCCAGCCTTGGAGATGAGCCAGGGAGGGGACAGGTGGAGACCCCCACCATGATCTGGGGGCCTCAGCTCAACCAGGCTCCCCCATTTTGCAGTGCCATGACCCAGAGAACCCTCCAGACCCCATTTGCTAGTCTGTGAAAGGAGAATGATGTCCGCCCTGCTGGCGGGATCCAGTGTGACCGAGGACTGAGAGCCAGAGAGAGTTTGGTGTTAAAACTGCCAGACCGGCTTGGAAAATGACCCGAGCATCTCTGAGATCCTTCAGTGTCCTTCGTTGTTCCCAACACCGCCCCGATGCCTACCCACCCCCCACGAAGACCCCCTCCTCTCCTCCCCGCTGTGCAGACTTCGCACAACCTTGGCCTCTGGTTGACAGGGGCGGAGGCTCCAGGGTCAGTGGCTTCTTGCTTCCTTGTGCTCTGGAACCATCCCGCTAGGCCTTTGGAGAGCATGTCCGCTGCTCTTTTTCTAGTAGCATCTCCATGAATCACCCTGGGCCCCCATCTCTGTTTCAGGGCTCCAAAGTCCTGGCCAAGAAGGAGCTGGCCTACGTCCCGATCATTGGCTGGATGTGGTACTTCACGGAGATGGTCTTCTGCACGCGCAAGTGGGAGCAGGACCGCAAGACCGTCTCACAGAGCTTGCTGCACCTCCGGGATTACCCCGAGAAGTACTTTGTACGTCACACCCCGAGCAGCCACGCCCCCAGCCCTGAAGCACTCCCGCGTGAGCAGCCAGAGGGGCCCCACGCCCGTCCTGCCGACCTGCCTGGCGGGCCGGCCGCGCCGTCCCATGCTACCCGGTCCGGTTCTTTGAACTAACGGGGGCAGAAACAGTCTTCAGAACACGCTTGTTGCACACGCACTCAGGATGCTCTTGTCACACTCAGAATGCAGATGCTCTTGTCCTGCTCACACACACTGGAGAGGCTCTCACCGGAGACACGCTCAGGGTGCTCTTGTCACACTCACACTCAGAGGCTCTTCTCATGCTCACGCACGCCCACGCAGGCTCACGCACACCCGCGCTCACTCCTCTACGATCCTCCACGGTCAGCTTTTGTCCCCACAGCTCCTGAAGGAGGAGGCCCAGCCTCCGGGCCCCACCCCGAGGTCGGGGGCGGCCGTAGCTGCGGGGGCCAGCCCAGCTCTGGCCATAAGGGCTCCTGTGGGACCACGTGTGACTGGGGTGGATGATGGAGGACGGAGCGTGACCCAGGGCCGCGGCGGGGACCGAGGGCTGTGCGTGACCTTTGCGCTGTTCCTTCCAGTTCCTGATTCACTGTGAGGGCACTCGGTTCACGGAGAAGAAGCACCAGATCAGCATGCAGGTGGCCCAAGCCAAGGGGCTGCCCAGCCTCAAGTACCACCTGCTGCCTCGCACCAAAGGCTTCGCCATCACCGTGAGGAGTTTGAGAAATGTAGGTAAGGAAGATCCCGGTGTCCCCTGCCCCCTGCAGCGAGGAGCCCCAACCCCAGCACCCCGGGCAGCGCTTCCCCGATGATGGTGGCCGGTAGCTAGGAGGGCAGACAGGGGACAGAGGATGGTTAGCTAGGATCCAGGCTACTGCCTGCTCGCTCACTCGCTCACTCGCTCACTCTCTCTCTCTGTCTCTCGCTCACACACTCTCTCACGGACACCGCCCCCGCCCAAGCACGCTGAGCAAACACTGCCCTCTACTGCTCAGCACCGGAACTGCAAGGCTGTGGTGACCTTGGGGAACCCCTGGGTCCGTCTTCACCGGGGCCCACACCTGGGTTCGGCCTGACCCCACACCTCGTTAGCCCAGGGTTTTGGCGTCCTTTTGCTTTGTCTGGCATTTCTTGCCCATCTCTTGGCACCAGCTGCCTCCAGCTGACGAACTCTGTGACCTTACCATCTGCGCTGGCTGACCCCGAGTCACCCTGGGTGAGAGTCAGAAAGCGGGCTCTTCCCTCTGGCCACAGCCGCTTTGCTCCTCGCTCCCCCCGGCAGCCCGCCCGCCTCCCAGAGACCCGCCCTCCTCCTCGGACCCTGCGAGGTGAGGGCGGCAGGGCGGCGGGCCTTGGGTTCGAGGCAGCTCCAAGGTCACACGGGTGTCCCCATGTCGTCCCCCACACCCCGGGCCAGGCGCCGCCTTGGCGGGAGTCCCGGGATGGTCAAGCAGCCTCTCTTTGCGCACGGTCGTCTGTCTTCGGGCCCCCAGGTCTCCTCTCCCTCAAGTGAGCCAAGGGATCTGAGTGGCGGGCGAGGGGTCTCCTGAGGCGCTGCCCGGCCCGGCGACCGCGTGCAAATCCGCCTCCTCTGGGCGCCCGAGCCCGTGGCCGTGAAGCCGCTGGGTAGCAGGGCAGGTGCACCGAGACACCCCCCGCCCCGCCCGCGGTCCACAGCCCCGCTCCACATCCCCGAGCTGACCCGGTTGTCTCCTGCCCAGACATCACCCCGCTAGTCCTCCGCACCCCCGCTAGTCCTCCGCACCCCCGCACACCCCTCGCGGCGGCTTGCGGCAATGAGGCCGCTCGCTCCCTCCGCTCGGCCTCCCAGCTGTCTGTCTGCGGAGCCCCGGATGCGCCCTCTGGATTCACCCCAAAGATAGAACCTGCCCGTCCCTGAGCTCCCCGTGGCCCCAGCAGCCCGGGCGGAGGTCGCCTGTCGCCGGTCCCTCCTCCAGCCGCTTCATCCGGCACCGCCCAGCAGGTCAGCGCTGGCTCCGCACTCCGCGGGCTGCAGGACCCTGGGCCCACCACCTCGGACGCTTGTAAGAGCTGCAAGGAGGGTTCGGTGAGGAAACAGGCGGAGGACTCAGCCTGAGGCCTGGCCTGTAACGGTCAGATGTCGGCCGTGGGTCGGAGCCCCGCTGAGCCTGCTCGCCTCGCCTTCTCACCTTGTTGGGGGTGCCCAGCTACTGGGTCTGGCTTTCCCCGTGGGCGTCGGGCCCTGGCTGAGCTTGGCCTGAGGCCACAGCAGTCCAGGCAGCGGGGCGGGCCGCGTCCCCTGCCCCGAAATAAGGACCTGCCCTCCAAGGGCACTTCGGATTCGCCCGCAAGGCAAGCTCGCCCCACAGGGCCTGGCGAGAGTGTACTGGCCAGATCTAATGAAGGAAACTGTTTATTTCCAGTGTACAGACGAGGAAGTTGGGCTTGGAGAGAATTTAAGGAACTTGTTCTGAGTGGCTCGGCTAGGACACGGAGGCTGGGGCTTGGAGGCTGGGGCTCGGGCTCGCCTCCTTCTCAAGGGCTTTGCAGGCAGGTGGATTTAGTGCTGGGCCGTTTTATCTCCCCTCTCGAGGTTGCCCCTCTGGCAAAGGAGGAAATTGTGCAAATCTAGTTGCTAGGCGGTCGTCTGGGGACCCCTGGTGGCTGCCCCCCGACCCGTCCTTGATTGACCAAGTAGGCCCCTTCCGTAGTGTACATCAGGCTCCTGTGTAAGAGCCAGTCTGGAGGGAGGAGTTGGAAACCCACTGAACCACATCAGCTCCATGTCCCCTTCTTACTCTCAGACCTGTGACCCCACAGCCACCCCGCATACAGCCTAAGTGCCTTTTCCTATAATGCCCACAGAATGTGGTGAACACAGAGGCTGCTCTCCACCAGCCCCCCTCTGTCCGTGGAGAGTGACGCCTCCCCCACCGGGAGACAGCCAGCCTCCAGTCCCAGGAGAGGAAGGGGCCTGGTCTGGCTTGCCAGGCGTTGGGGGCTACCCCCCAGCTTTCCTGCGAGCCAGCAAGGGAGACCCCCGCCTCTCCTCAGCTAGGACTAACGAGCTGGCAGTGGGCCTCCTGCAGACCCCACCAGGGGCCAGGCAGCAGGTCGAAGGAAATGGATGGTGGTTTTCTGGCTGATTTTTGAATCTTGGTTCTTCATATCCCCAACTAGACCAAGAGGACCCTGCTGTCACCCTCCCACCCGCTTTATGAATAATAACCGCACATAGGCAAAGCTCTCCGTAAAGTATCGGGCTCACAATCTATTATCACGGAGGGCCAGGCCCCGGGGGACATGCAGACTCCTGCCAGCTCAGCCGGCGTGCAAGGAAGGCTTCGTGGGTCCCCTTCTCCAGGGGAGCTGGGCTCAGGGCGGCTGAGCAGCACGTCCAAGAGAGGATCCCACAGGCACAAGGCTGACTTCATAACTCGTGCTCTTTCCACTGTCCCGTCCTGTCATCCCATCTCCATGCTGTATTTCTGTCCCCTCATGGTCATTCACGCACTCCCACCCTCCACCCACTGAATGTTTCTGGAGCCCGGGCCAGGCCCTGCGGCCCCGCGGTACACGCCAACATAACTCGTGCCGACAGGTCAGCTCACCATTGGGCAGAGGCACTGACCTCACATGTTCTTCTTTGCTTCTCAGCTCTGTTTCAGTGGACTCTGGTTCAAGTCCTTAAGATGTCTCCAGCATCTTAGTCTAATTTTGTAGCTATCTTACTTCTCTAGGGGGAGAAATTGCTTATAAAATGCTTATGCCACCATCCACTCAGACACATTCTCAGGTAGTAGGCTCTAGACTGGCCGATCTCATGTCTGACCCCGTGTAAATGTTGGTACTTGTTGGAGAATTTCTAGACGGGACACCGCAGTATTGCTTTAAGCTGTTCCGACCTCAGTAATAACTCTTTTCTCAGTTACTGAGTTATAGTGTTTTTCTGGTTACAAAAGGTGATGTGTGTTCAATGTAGGGCATTTGGACAGTATAGAAAAGCATGAAAAAGGACAGAACCCCGTCATCCCACCATCCTGAGATAACCAGTTAGCAAATCTCATTGTTGTTTTCCAGTGTGTATCTGCGAAACAAAATTGGGTTCACACGCTATATACTGCTTTGTATTTGTTTTATTTTTTTTATAGTTTCAGCTGTATATGACTGTACACTCAATTTCAGAAATAATGAAAATCCAACACTGTTGGGGGTCCTAAATGGAAAGAAATATCACGCCGATTTATATGTCAGGTAAGTTGGTTCCATTTCCTTTCCAAAACAGAGAGAGCCCATCAAAGTAATTAAATCACAGACGGTCTACAGAGCTCTTTCCAGGGAAGTCTGTTTAGTATTTTCTTGCCTGTAATCTGTCATGAAGTGAACTTTACAGACTATATTTATATTAGGAACTCAAGACACACAGCACTCATGTCAGTAATCGGGGAAGCCTCTAATTTCTGATTCTCTCGGACCAATTCATACTCATCATAGAGCTCAGGTTGGACAGACAGAAGACAGCATTTTATAGTTATTTTGAGACTGAGTATGAAGAGATTATTATACTGACCCTTCTTCTTGGAGGATGTGTCTGCGATATACAGGTATACACAGACAAGAACATGTATAATTTATAGGGAGGTCTAGGAACAAATGGAGAGCGTTTCAGCGGTATCTTACTTCTGTGTTGTATCTCAAGCTATTATTGAAAAGACTTCCCACGGTATCAGACACACCCGTTCTCTTGGCCCGTTGCATCGCTTACAGAACGGGCGTCACCCTGGGCTTCGGCAATGCCATCCAGACGAGTGGGAAACGATTGGAAGATGCTGCCATCCGCCAAACGCAGCAGGGACTTGAGCATAAAACCCAGCGCGACGGGGCTGAGGGACGGTACTGGTTTCCTGTGCACTAGGTTGTCTTCCCAGAAGGCTAACAAAGATGATCTGACATGGCTGCTCTTGGGGAACCAGCCAAGTGTTCTAGAACATTCTGATTACTTTTTCAAAAGGCTTCACAGATACTAAAGTACAACACAGGACGATGTAAATTCAGGGGCTGATCGTCACCCTGGGGCTGCAGGAAAGGCTCAGCCCTTCCAGGAGAGATGTTTCGGTGGACTGACAGCTTGAATCAAACAGCTTTCTAGCCGGAGAGGACCCCGGTTCCCCCTTTCGAATTATCCCTGTTTCCTAAAGCTGCAGTCGACAGTCTACCTTACTCTGCAGTTGAAGGCACGTGAGGGCGGGAAAACCAGCCTTCCCGAGGGAGGCCTTCTCCCAGAGGTAGAGGAGGCTTTGCCCCCTGAGCACTCAGACACCCGGCAGGAGCTCTACTCAGTGGCCAGCTGGGCCCCAGGTATTTGGGGGAAGCCTGGAGCATGGGAGATTATCATACCCATGGGGCCGCCTCTCTGGTAACTTCTTCCCCGGAGTACATACAGGAATGGGGTGTGAAGAGCCAAAACCACACCATGGGGGCCACGGAAGCCGGTGCCCTCACAGCCGGGAGGGAGGACTGTGCGGCTCCCCACGCTTCTCCTCGCAGTGCAGGTTCCCCTGCATAGCTCTACAGGCTTTCTCGTGCTTTGCCTCAATGCAAAGCATTAAAACAGGAAGGGCAGGAATGTCAAGGAAGTTCTTGAAAAGAGCAAAAGTGCCGTAAACACCTACCATCCAAATAAAGGGTAGGCAGGCTCCCTATCCTTTTTCAAGAAACACAGTTAGAGATCTGGTTTCCCCAGTGAGCCAAAAAGAGCAAAGGGGTTGGGCGTTTGTGGGGGGACCTGTGGAAGTTGACGGGGTAATATTTCATCATATGAAAACTTAGCCCCATACGATACCGTGTCTGTTATAAGATGGAATCCCACATTCCCTCCAAAGGCCGTGGTGTGATGGATAGGTTCTAGAAATGGACCTTGTTGCTAAGGTAGTCCCGAGCCAGAGACGGGCATGAAGCCGGCCCTGGCAGTCACGGGGGACACAGGATTTCCTGCACACAGCATCAGGGTGAATAAAAAGGCCTAGAGCTCATGAAAGCCAGCACCCCGCGGGCAGACACACAGAACGAGATCTGCAACAGGGGACCAGGAAACATGGTCCAGTGACTCCCCCTTGCTCAGAGGGGCTGTTGGCAAGTGGCTGGGTCCCCAGCCCCAGAGCCACCCTCACACTCCCCCTCTGGTGAGCAGAAAGCAAAGGTGAGCAAAGGGGCAGGCTGACCCCCTTCAGGGACCTGCACTGCACCTGGGGCTGGAGCTCCCCACCATGGGTATGGATTTCCCCGTCTGCCGCCTGAATTGCCCCCCGTCCCCCCACGTGACCTAGGCTCCTGAAACAGAGCCCAGAGACGTCAAGTATTGTTGGTGGTGGGTTTTTTTAAGATTTTATTTATTTATTTGACAGATCACAAGTAGGCAGAGAGACAGGCAGAGAGAGAGGAGGAAGCAGGCTCCCCACGGAGCAGAGAACCCGATGCGGGGCTTGATCCCAGGACCCTGGGATCATGACCTGAGCCGAAGGCAGAGGCTTTAACCCACTGAGCCCCCCAGGCGCCCCCCAAGTATTGTTATTTTGAAGCCATGGCTGGGGTGTTTGGCACCAGTCTCCTCCCTGCTAGCTGTTCTCTGCTTTGCAGGCGGATCCCTCTAGAAGAAGTCCCAGAAGACGAGGACGAGTGTTCAGCCTGGCTCCACAAGCTCTACCAGGAGAAGGTCAGTGCAGCGAGGTTGTGGGGGGTGGCTCTGCGGGATCCAAGCACCTGTTTCAAGGTGGGTGCACCATGCGGGCCTCTGGGAACTGGTAGTGGCGACGAGCCTTTCTCCATCCGTGTGAGACCCCACACTCTGGTTAGTTACCGCCCTGGGGCTGACACTCCGCTTGGCAAGGGGGTAAATGAATAGAGCAAAATGGGTTTAAGGGGGCTTCACGGCAGGAAAGGAGGGTGTAGTGGACAGAAAAGGAAGTGAGGCCCCCCAGCAGCCCGTATCTACTTAGGAAAAGTAGCCTCTGGTTCTTGGGGTCTGGAGGGTTCTTTTCAGGAAACGTGTATGATCCCGATGGCTGCCGGGCCTACAAGGTGGCTGTCTGTAGGGTCTCAGACCCCCCCACCCACCCCAGGTGAGATGGAGGGTCTCAAAACCGCCCGCACAGGCAAGACGGAGGCTTGCAAGACTCCGCCTCGGCTGGGGTCAGTCCCCACCCCACCTTCTTTCCTTCCTCTGAGCAGGGCCCTACCTCCACTGGCTCCTCTCCTCAGAGGCATGGGCAGGGGCAGGGGCAGAAGGGGTCACATGCTTATGGCCCTCACTGCTTCGTCTCAGGAAGGAGAAAAGGTCAGCATCCAGCGAGTGAGGAAGGCATTTTTATGACCGCATCTTGCTGCCCACAGAGACTTATTTCTGATTCATCCTATGTTTTGAGGCCAAACCGGCCTCGAATCGAGCACGTTGAGCGGGATGTGGATTTCCTGTTGCCGAATTCCATCGGTACGGACGGGGGGTCTGCCTCTCCCCACTCCCCTAGAGGAGATGGTCACTAGAGCTCTACGGGCGTCTGCTCCAATCGGAGAAGCATTTTAATCCGTCCTTTGAGAACGTGTCTTGGCCCCAGAGGCTTCCAGATGACCCCCATCAGACGAAGTAGAGACTTCCCACAAATGTGCTCGGTTTGGGGGATCAAGACCCTGACACTCTCGCAGCAGGAGGTGGCTCCCGTGCTCCCGAGGAGGTGATTTTCCGACGGTTCCGGTAAAAGCCCATTCAAATAACTGGCCCTTTGGGGGCGTTTTCTGGACGGGTTGCAGGGACAGGCATCCAGTCTCCTCTTCTACAAGTACACGGGGACCGGCCCGTCTGTCACCGAGCGGGGACCATGCAGGTCCCTCAGCCTCACAGGTTCACCCCGTAAGTCTGAGGGGCCTAGAAATGCGTATTCCTAGGAGGCCGCCTCTGACCCGTGGCCTGCAGGCTTGGAAACGGACGGCGGCTGCTTTTAAACCAGGTTCCCAGTTAGGAAGCTTCTGTGCTGCCGCAGGCCGGGGCCTGGTGGAAACACGCAAACGACATATATTTTCTTCTGGTTTCACGCACGAGGCGGCATTTTCCCTTGTGCTGTTCTCTGGTTTAATCGTCTGGACGGCATACGACACGTCGCACTATTAGCAAGCAGAAAATTGCACTAAGGCCTCAGAAAGGAAAGCCTGCGTAAAGAAGCACATGAACAATCTGACAAACGCGGGCCTCAAACCCACCAAAGCAAAGCAAAGCAGGTTTTTCTCCGTGGGCCAGTTCCCTGCTGGGTTCAGGCAGGAGAGTGTGACCGTCGTGTGACCCGAACCACTCGGGCGTTCAGCAAAGAGGCACTTCTCCTTCCTGATAAAGTCTCTCCAGAGGTTTCCCTCTAAACTATGTATGCACTAAAATGATAGGGTTCAGTTTGGAAGGGCTTCCCGAAACGACCATCTGGGGCAGAGCCCTTATGCTAGTGAGAGGGAAACTGAGGCCCAGAGAATGACGTGGGTTGCCCACCTTGCAGCTAAAGCCAGGTGCCGGAGAACAGGCCCTGTCTCGCTTCTGAGGGCTGTGTCTGTGAGCGACCTGGGAGGCTGGCCTTTTCCCCGGAGGGACCACCCCTGAGCAGTTCCCGGGAAGGGGCAGCGGTGCCTCCAAGAGGAACTGTGGACAGACGGGAAGAAACTCCAGCATCCTGGGGCAGCCCTGTCCCCTCAGGAGCCTCGATGGGCCTGGGGCTTTACGTACCGGAAATCCCAGGGCCCCATCGCGCTTGCCAAAGTAGAGTTCTGTGTTGGGCGTCATCTTTCAGACGCATGGCATGGGAAGACAGTTCTGCTGACGTTGAGCCGGGGACCTCAAGGCACCGATTCTCCGGTGTTGCTTTCAGGGACAACGGTCAGCCAGCTGCAAGAGGGGTGCCGGCCCCCCAACAGGGACGTGGCAGCGTTTCATTCTGTTCAGGCAGGGACATAAAAAGATCCACTATCGGCCACGGCCATTTTGACAGTCTCAAATAGGAAGGGCATCAGCTCCGACGACCGGGCCAACCTTATAGAACAAACATAGCGTCTGGAAAAGACACAACGTTGATGACTTGTCAGCACCCGGGACGGCTGCTGCCTGTCAGTGTGGGAAACCATCCATGTCCTCGTGTGATCCCTTGGGGACAACGGCGGTGCCCCCGTCACTTTTTCCCAGAACCATCACGGTTACCCCATCACGTGGTTTGAACCAAGTCTGAATTTCATCCCTGATTCAAGTTACGTACTTACCCTCTGGCGGGCAGTCTGAAGTCTGCCGAAGGGATGGGGAATTCGCCGTTAATGGTACCCACGGAAAACCTGGTGAAGGAAGCAGTGGCCGAGCTGTCTTGTGGGTGTGTGGGGCCCACGGGGGCCACGGTTGGGTGCTGCTCTGCGTGGGGTGCCACAGCCAGCAGGAATTCTTCAAGCACAAGAACGAAGTGTTTTCCAAGCTCGCAATGGCTTTCGCACAATACCAAGGACATTTCCTTCTCACCACTCCAGAGGCCAGGCGATCAGGGGCCTGAAGGGGGGCCCCCACTGGGGCTGCTGTGGTGGACGGGGCAAGGGGGCTCCCTGAGGTCCCCGTGACAAGGGCACGACCCCCAATAATGAGGGCCCCGTCCTGGCGAGAGGCCCCGCCCCCAAGCCCAGCCCACGGGAGATTAGGCTTCCACGTGGAGAATCTGGGAGTCCAAAGCGGCCCTGTCACCGAGTTATCGGGCTCCTGTGGCCCCAGCCTGGCATGAGAAAAATCACCCCAGTTCATGGCAAGGAGGTAAAAACGGGAGGCCTCGACAGAGTTAGGGCCCTCGCTCTGGGCCTCGGACAAGTCACTGTCGCTTCCCCTGAGGTTGTCTGCTTCGGCCACAGGCTCTGGGACTCATTTTAATAATGACCCTCAGTGGAGAAAAAAGCGTCTTTCTCAGTACCTGCTGACTGGGGAAAGGAGAAGTATGGTGCATTTTCGAGATCGCTCTCAGGCTGTTAAAGGGAGTTCGGCACCTCGGGTGTAAGTTCCAGACAGACGGAAGCTCCTTTTCCAGGAAACTCAACTCTGGGGACAGCTGGGACATCAGCAGGCTCCGACGGGGCCCCGCGTGACGCAGAGACGGGTCTTGCTCCGCACGCACGCCGCCAGCCCCCACGATGCTGTCAGGGTATTTCAGTCCGTTGCCTTATTTAGAAGCGGGCAGACTCCCCGTGGCTGCCAGCTGCTGGCCCTCGTGTCCACACGGTGCCCGGGGATGAGTCCCTCTGCCCCCATTGCCTGCCGCCCGGCCCCGTAGTGTCCCTCTTTCCCACAGTCGCCAAGCAGCGCCTGGGGTCTCCCGAGAGCAGCTGGACGGTGCTCGCTACATAGGCCCGGCCTTGGGGGCCCCTGGTGTGCCCCGTGCCTGCCTGAGAGGTCACACACACACACACACACACACTTGGGGACCTGTGGTCCCCTCATCCGTGGGCTGTTAGCTGCGGCCACGGACGGTCCAGCTGTTAGGTCACAGGCAGCCTCGGGGCGCCAAGACCCCACCCGTCACTCCTCCATCGCGTCACCGGAAGGGGGCCACATTCACACGCCCTCGGTCACAGTACTTTGTTAGCTCCGCCGTGTCCGTGCTTGGCTCTTTCCGCACCTTGAGGAATGAAACCTCGCACGTGGTCATCACAGGCGCGGGCGTCCCCGGAGCCCACCACCAAGGCGGCTCCGGTGTTCCGCCTCAGGTCAGGCACCAGAGGAGACAGGACGGGGGTCTCGGCGGTACTGCACAGAGCCGCTGGGCAGGCCGTGCTGTCGTGGCTTAGGTGCAAGAGGTGAGCCCGTGGCTCTGCCCGAGGCTCCGGGTTCTAGCGTGTTCTGGGCGTTCAGCGAAGGCAGGCTCCGTGTCTCCATTCGTTCTCCACCGGCCGTTGCGGGTGCAGGCCGTACTGCATCTGGGCGACCAGAGCTGGGCCTCAGAGGCCGGCCACCCGGCCGGAGGCAGGTGAGCACCGAGGAGCGGATCAGGACGGAACTGGGCTGGCCTGGCACCGAAGCTCAAGCTGCCACGCCTGGGCTAGTGACCGGGCCGTGTCACTGTGGGGAGGGGACAGCCAAGTTCGGTATTGGGAAGGCACATCAGGCGCCTGTGATGGAGCCCCCGGTTCTGCTCAGCTCACATTGCCTCCCCCCGCCCCAGTGCCTCGGGAAGGGCCTGCACGAACACGGGGTCATGCATGAGCAAAGTGCCTCAGGGTCGCCTCTCTGTCCGCAGGATGCCTTCCAGGAGGAGTACCACAGGACGGGCACCTTCCCGGAGACAGCCATGGTGCCCCCCCGGCGGCCCTGGACGCTCCTCAACTGGTTGTTCTGGGCCTCCCTCCTGCTCTACCCCTTCTTCCGGTTCCTCGTCAACATGGTCAGCAGCGGGTCCTCCCTCACCCTGGCCAGCTTCGTCCTCGTCTTCTTTGTGGGTGAGTAGAGAGCAGGAGGCCCGCGCCAGCCATGCTGCCGGGAGGAGCATCTGATGGGGGGACAGCTGGAGGCAGAACCTGGGGTAAACTCCCCCTAGCCGTCGCAGCCCTCGGAACAGAAGGCACAGCCTGCAGGCGCACCGGGAAGACTAGCCTGCAGGCCTCACAGTCAAACACACCCAGAGCCCCTCCCCGAACGTGAGCTCTGCGGACAGCTACTCACCATCCTCATCCCTCCCTCCTCCCCAGGAAAACCTTCCTGGAGCCCAGCAGCAACGGGCAAAGGCCCCTGGCCATTCAGAGCAGGTCCCGGCCCCTCTGGGGAAGAGCATGTGCTTCTAGAAGTTGGCTGCCACACGCAACATTGAATAGAGCGGCCTGGGAGCACTTTTGCATGAACCCATACTGGCTTCATTGGCCAGGGGGCTTCAGAGTCCTCTGATTTCTTCATAGCCCCAGGGTTCCCTGCACGCTGTCGCTGGTCTTTGAGGTGTGGCAGCCAGAGGCAAACTTGGTAGGACCCCCTGGGAGAGGCAGCCCTTTTCACCGCCAGCCCCGCTGGAACGTCCCATCTCAGTCATTTATGCGTTCTGAAATGTGTGATACGTGCTTGGTGCCGGGCTCCTCAGGGGGCTCGGACGTGCTCCCTGCCCTGAAGGAGCTCACCAAGTCTGCCATCTCGGACTGCAGTGTGGGACCGCGGCCCTGCTGTCCAGCTTCCTGGTGGCTCCGCTGGGCACTCATGAGGGTCTTTCGTGCTCTCTGTTTGGGCCGATCCCACCTGAAGGCAGGGACTTTTCCCCGTTCACTGCTCTGATTCTTATCCCGAGAGCAGAGCCGGGCACTAAGGAGATGCCCGGGCTCTTGCGCTCTCCATGCTCCTGGTCGGTCACTTAGCTTCGCTGCAGGGTGTTTTGTAAGTTCCTGCCCTGCGTTGGCAAAAGAATCCTCTTTGTCTTGGAGGCCAGCGGGGCAGAGGAATTCGGTAAGCTGCGGTGGAGGCTTAGCATCCTTGATGCATGGAGGGATTAACCCGGCACCGTGCTCCAGGAGAACTACAGTGGGATCATGCAGGGCCCCAAATTAGCCGGCGAGATCTCAGCTGCTGCTTGGGGTCTGCAGACAGCTGGCATCTCAGCATTCTTCCCGCAGATCACTCTGGGGTCCCCCATGGGCTCCTCCTAACCCCTGTGCTTCCCATTTCTTCCCATTTCTGCAGCTTCTATGGGAGTTCGATGGATGATTGGTGTGACCGAAATCGACAAGGGCTCTGCCTACGGCAACATCGACAGCAAGCAGAAACGGAGCGACTGACCCCAGACACATTAGCGCCCAGAGGGGCCCTTGGGGACTGGTGGACGCTGCCAGCCATCCTTAGTGGGACCCGGGGACGAAGCGGGGTGAGCCCCTGCTGGGAAGGCAGGGCGTTTTGTCTCGATGCCAGATGGGGAGGAAGATGTTCTTAAATCTTTTGTCCCCCCATAATGCTTTAGTGGGTTTTGATTTTCTTTTCGTGTGAGCGTGTGTGTGTGTGTTTGTGTGAGTGTATGCGAGTGAGTGTAAGGGAGAGGACACATATAAGTGAGAATGGTGTGCGGCTGAGTGTGAGCCTTATTCTATCATCATTCGGAGGGGATCTGAGGCACAGGGGGAGGGCAGGGACGGGGAACGGAGGGTTCCCCTTCATTCTTCGGTGCTGAGTTTTCTGTACTGGATTGCAAAAGAGTGGAAGGCGCTTTAGGTAAGATGACTAAATTATGCCTCCAAAAAACCATTAAAGTGTTTGGCTCCCTGTGCTATGTGTTTCCACAGACTGCTCCGTGCCTACACTCCACCCTCTGCCGTGGTTCTGGGGTTCCAGACGGCAATGACCCAACAGCACTGCCTGGGGGGTAGCAGGATGGACTCAGCACGCAGGGGGCAGCTGGAGGGGGCCCTCCTGGCCGCTGACACAGGTGCAGGCACGGGGCAGGGAGGTGGTTGAAGGGGACGGCAGGTGCTGGGGGACGAGCTGAGCACATCTGGGGGACACAGTGAGAGGCCGTAAGGCAGCCTTGGGTTTTCCGATCTGCCTGCAACGGAGTCTCCCCGGCCCGCATCTTGAGGAGGTGGCCGATTCTGAAGAAGCTGAGCGGAAAAACAGAGCAGGGGCCTCTGGCAGCCGTTAGAGAAACGACCTCACGTGTGCAGCTCATCTCAGTCAGCAGGCAGAGACCAGTCCAGGAGCACTTTTTGCAAACACCGTGCAGGAGCCAAGGGTCGACCACAGCAAACACCGGGGTACGCGGCTCCCCTGGGCGTCTGCTTTTCTTCCGGAAGCCCAGACTCTCACACCACGAGGGAGGGCTGCCCCTTGACACGCCAGGCGTTCTCTGGAGTCACAGCCACACGCACGACCTCCGTGAAGTGCTGCCAGTCCTCATAGGCCACGTGCACAACGTGCGAGACTCGCAGTGACGTCTCCGGCGAAGAGCATTTAGCCATGGGACACTCTGTCCTCCCAGGCCAACGCGCTGATGGTGCTCACAAAGGTGGGGATTTCGGAGCACGAGGTATGCAGAAGGCTCTCCCCCGTGCACAGCCGCACGCGGCTGCAACAGAGCTCTTGCTGCGCAGATAGAGGAAGGGAGAGACGGTTCCACCCAAAAGGTGGGCATAAGCTCTTCCGAATCCTGTTTTTCACGGTTTACTCCTTTACTCACCAAGTGTTTACCAAGCACAACAGAACTAGGTGAGCCAAGGAGAGCGCCCAAGAGAAGCACCCTTGTTGTCAGGAACTGCAGAAACGGAGAGAGAAATGGATTCTGGCTGAGAGTCTCCCTTCGGAAGGGAGTTCCGGTGAGGCCAGAGCCCGAGCTGACATTTGCAAGCCCCCTCGAGAGCAGGGCTGATGAGCCCCTGCATTTGCTCACCCTGCGTCAGGCCGTGGGCGCAGCTCAGGCGTCTGTATTCATGTCCCCATGTGCCCACCTGCACCCGGAGGTGGGGGCCGCTCTACGCGGGGCTCCACGCTCCACAGCAGAGCTGAGTAAGGCGGTCAGGGGTCAGTCCTGCCCGCAGCTGTGCGAGCCCCCCTCCTGGCACTCGACCTTGGGTGAGCCATCCCACCTTGAGTCCCAGTTTCCCCATTTGCAAAGTGAGGGTGATCATACCTGCCTCCTGGGTTGTTTCAAGAGTAAAAACGAGGCCATATATGTGAATACACGTTAAGAATCCGAAAGCACTAAACACAGAAGGAAGGAGACATTAGAAAGCTGCCTCCGTGTTGCTACTTTGCAAAATGCTCAGAAACGACCCTGTGGTGTCCAAAAACATGTCCTTCTTCTGTCCTTGCCCCATGAATAGAGTGATTGAGTGCTAGTAACATATACTGCCTTCGCCCTAGAACAGAACACGCGAGCAGAGGCAGGCCGCTGACCAGCGCTGTGGGGCCGGGTCCGAGGAAGGCAGGCAAAATACTGCCCTGGGAAAGAACTCCTCTGCACTCCTTTTCACCCGGGCCTCGGGTAGCAGGAGAATGTGATAGTCTGGGGACAGATCGGTCATCTTCTCAGCTACCTGGCCTTCCCACGAAGAAGCCTTTTGTTAGGAGTCACAGGGAGCTGGCTTTCCTTCTGCCCTGCTGCAGAGATGAGCATGGTGCCCCAGAAAGGCCCAGCCCTGGATCCCCGAACGTGGGCACATGTCTCACAGAGTTAAAACCCCACGGAGGTTAAGCCACCTGTAGTGAGTGCTAGTCCCTAGCGGTCCATCATGGACTGAGAGCTCCGTGTCCTCACACTGTCATCTCATGGTAGCTTGGGGCAGCCCTGCTCAGAGCCCGCTCTGAGCTCCAACGTAGCCGGGAAAAGTAGTTTTCCTGCACTCTGGACAGCGATGGCCACTCTCCAGACTTCCCTGCAGCTTTGATACAGGGAGTCTGAGGCACTTCCAGGAAACCAAGCCCCCAGCATGACCTTTTTTACTAAAAACACCGGGCATCCAAAATGCAGCTGGCAGCTGGGGAAGCAGACTGATTCAGTGACTGCTGAGCGAGCAGGAGTGACCGCAGAGGACGAACTAACGAGCTCTGTCAGTTGGTCTCCCATGTTGCCGACTTTTTTCCCGAGAGAACACCACCTTCCTCCTAGGATCACACAGTAGGACTGCAGTTATCTCTCGACCGCTTTGTTCTCTAAATAAACGCATGCAAAACTCTGTACAAGTAGCCGTTGGCGTTTAAAAATTAAACACATCCATCTTTTCCTAATAGACCTGTCAGTGGACCTGAACAACAGTGATTCAGATGTAAAATCCAACCATAATCAGCCGGGAAGGGTGACGAAGGAAGGGATGGCCTGCCCGTCACCAGAAGGGACCCTGTCAGCTTCTGGGTTCCCTCCTGGTGGAGCCAAACCATGGTCCGGCTGGTCCCCATGCAGGACAGACTGGGCCTGACAGAGGCTTTAGAACTTACTCGTAAACACCGACCAACGTGAAATTCTGCCGGGCACCTGCTCTCTGCTCAACAAGGCTGCATCCAGCTTACCCCCGAGCACTGGCAGACCGTCCACGTATCTGCTGGGCTCAAGCGTGAAGAACAGCCCAGGGCCCGCCGGTTTCCCAAGCCAGCACGGGCGGAGTATTGGTGCCACATGAGTGTAGCTTGTGCTGGAAAGACCATGGGGCCCGGGACCGTGTCTGCAGCCCACGTCTGTGGCCGGCTGTGGCAGGCTGGGCAGGGTGAGTCTCGGTTCACGGGCCGCGGGCCCGCAGGCCACCCCATTAGGTGGCCGTGCTTCCCCCTTCAGCAAGCGTGTCTCAGCCTTCGCCGAACCAGGGCTCACACTCTGCTCGTGGAGAATGACGTGAGGCGTCCAGTGCGACGCTGACAGGTGCTGCCCACGTCCCACAGCGCAGCGCCAGCGGGTTCACAGCCCCACCTCTCGTTCTAATAAACGCTCTTCCCCTGAACGACACGGTTCGAAAGTCTCCGGCTGGAATGAGGCACGGGGGCTGCCTCGGCGGGGAAAGGATGCCCAGGTTTGGCGGCGAGAGCTGGCTCTTCCCCGTGGGCTCAGCGCCGTGACACGAGGCTGTCCTTCCTCTCCACCTGTGCGAGGTGGTCGGCAGCTGCTGCCTTTGTGAAATGGGGAGACAGGTCAGTGGCTCTTCAGACAAGTGAGTCCTCCTTGACACAATGGCCTGCGGAGCAGCCCCTGCCCCCGGGGTCAAGACTCACGGTCGTGTGTGGCCTTTGCCAGGGAGTCCCTCGGGAACGCCGGCCGCGGAAGCTCCCTCATGTGCGGACTCTTTCCCAGCCGCAGAGAGAGCCGGTGGCTGTGCAGATACCCAGCTGGCTGCATCGGAGTCAGGTGATTTCCTAAAACTGTCTTCAGAGATTTCATCAGAAAACGTTTTTAAAACAAATTTTTTTTTTTTTTTTTTGGCCAGGATGAATGAGGCTCAACTCACTTCCCTGATCAACATGGTAGACCCAAGGGCAAGCCCCTGTTCAGGGCCAGCCCCTCTGTCCTCTGAGAGGCGCCCGGGGGAAGGCTGGGTCGGCCCTGAGCCTGACCTGTCACCTGGGCACGAACGAGTACCCCGATCTCTAACGTGCTCCCGCAGCCCTGCCTCCAGAGTTCCCACGAACATACACGAAAGCAATCCCTTCCGATGTGCCAGGCTCACAGTCCTCACATAGAGGTGCTGCGGACTCAAGGGGATGGGGGAGGCCCAAGCACTTATTCCATTTCCCTCGACCCATGACATGCTAAACCACTCGCAGCCGTTGTCTCCGACAGGTACTGCGTCGGCAAAGAGTTATCAGAAACTTCTCCTCCGTGGTCAGCGTGTCTCCTCCTCTGACTGGCGTGGCCACAGGGCAGGGCTGGGCACCGGGCACCGGGGGAGGCTGGCGGAGGGAACCGAGCACTGACTCGGGCGCTTTAATAACTGGGCTGCCCCTGTCTTCTCTTGATGCCCTTTCCTAAAGTACAAATAAGGCCTTTTCTTAAGTGCAATGAAGCATTGAACGTTGGCAGCTGGTCAGAACGTTGTACATGGTCAGTACGTCCAAGTTCCAGAGTTAGCCGTGACAAAAGCAAAGCTTTTCTCCAGGGAAGGATAAGCAGTTCCAAACCAGGCAGTCCACAGCCCCTGCAGAGCTTGTCCTGTTTTAATAGGAAGGTTCTGAATTGTTTGAAAAGCATTTATTAAGCACCCTAGATCTTTTCAGTATCTAGAAAAATTTCCTAGGCCTATGTGAGTAAAGTGTTCCACTGAGGAAGACTCCTATAATTTTTACCTTTAACTTTTTTTTTTAACAAAAGCATAGTCTTGATTTACATGTTGAAGGAACTAGGTATTTTTGAAATTTCTGGCATCTCTGTTCAGTTGAATTTTAAGGGAAGAAGCAGTACAAATACAAAGTTAGGATTCCTGAATAATAATCCCTTTGAATTTGAAAAGTAAATTAAACGACACCAATTGCAATCTTTCTTAAATCTGTAGTCTTTAGCCAGATCGTTCCCAAACGTTTCAGGGAATTAGAAAAAGGCACCAATGGAGTTTCAGGGTGCCATTCCATCTCTGTGTCTGCAAATGAGGAGGAAGGAAAGCAGTGGAGAATATTGACATAGCTGGTGAACTAGCACAGGGAGGTGCAGACTTTTGAAGTTTCAACAAAATAACATCACAAAACTGCAGAACCCCATTCCCTGCCAGAATGCGCCAGCATCAATAACGCACTAGCTAAGTGCATCTGAGGCAAAAAGGCAAAGGCTCCATAAGCCGCCTGTGGATGACAGGGACAGTCGGGGTTGGGGCAGCAACTCACACTGTTTTTGTCTTGTTCACAGCTGAAGTTAGGGAATGAGTTACCTGAAGTGCACAGTGAACCCTATCGAGTTCGTACACAAAAATTAACTAAAAATAGACGATGAATCTAAATGTAAGAGCTGATAAGGAAATAAGTATAAATCTTCATGACCTTGGGTC